ACAGGGTCTCTCACACACACACACACACACACACACACACACACACACACACACACACACACACACACTTCCCAAAGCCAGCAAGGTTGTACGCATACACATGTAACTAATGCTGTGATGCTGCTGCTACAGTCTTTAACATGTAACACAGATCAGCAAAGCCGCATCCAGCTTTCTTTGTGATTGTTTTCTTCATTTGTGAAAATATTGCACTTATACATATGGAGGGAGTATTTAAAAGTGTGTAAGGTTAATGATTTCATGTGGTAAAAGAGAGACAACAATTAATACATTAATATAAACAATTTATTAGACAGTCTTAAACATTTACAGCATTTTAAAATACAAATATACAAGAGATTAACAGACTAATGGGCAGCTGTGGTCTGAGCGTTCGTGTGTGTGTGTGTCACTGGACAGTGTGTGAAAGCAGAAGGTCAAAGGATCTGTCTCTTCTCCACTTCCTTTAATGCGGGAGTGTGTTTGTGTGTCAGACTCACCTGCTGAAACTGCTACTGCAAACTTATACACACACACTGCTTCGTTTCTACACACTGTGGGAAAATATTAAGGGTTTGAGATTGAGAAAAAAAGAACAGAAAAAATATTTATTTGTAATCAGTACATTCATCTTGTTTTCCAGTAAAAATATAAACTTACTGCAAAAAACGGACAAGAAACAAATATATATATTAGTGCTGTCAAATGATTCATCGCATCCAAAATAAGTTTTTGTTTACATAATATATGTGTGTACTGTGTATATTTATTATGTATATATACAGTATATATTTTGAAAATATTTACATTTATTTACATGTACATATTTATATTAATTTAATCATATGTATATGTATTCATAAATATATTTAATATATAAACATAACTTATTTTTCAGAAATATATACATGCATGTGTGTGTATATATATATATAAAATAAAACATTTAATTATATTGAAAATTGCCAACAACTTAAAGATAACTTTGCTGAAATGTTTGCTCATAAGTACATTTATCTTGTTTTGATTTTTTTTAAAGGTAAAATAAGGCAAATATAATATAATGTAATGTAAGTCATTGAGCGTGTTTTGAATAATGGTATTATTTTATGGCATATCCTAGTAAATAGTAAGAATGTGTGTAACAATATCAAGTTAATCTGCAAGTTACCTGCAAGCTGAAAATAACATCTGCACCTAAAAAGAAGTCTGTATTATTTTGCACACTCATTCACAACAGGGATTGTTTTTTTGTGAGAGAGAGAGTGCATTTTAGGATACAGACAGGTTTATGTCCCTGCCAGAGCTCACTGTATGTTGAAGAACAAAAAGATGTCTGGGTTGTGTGTGTGTGTGTGAGAGTGTTTGAGGATTTCTGGGGTGCTCACGCAGCTTTTCGTGCAGGTAACGGGAGCACCTGCGGCCACCGCTAACCGCCATCCGACGGGTTAAAAGCTCTGACTGGAGGAAGACGCTCAGAGCTGCCGCGGGGTCCACTGGAGTCCCATCGGCTGAGAGAAACCTGTGAGACAGAAGCTAATTATCCTCTAAAGCAAAAAGCCAGTTGTGGTTCAGTAACTCCAGCACGCTGCCAGCCAGATACTGCGTTTCCTTGGCAACGCCTCCACAGCAGTACTGCAGACATCACAGAGAAAGGCAGGCGGTCACAGGGTACACAGGGTAGGATGAATCGGGGAGGAAAGACTTTACGAGTGACGGGCCATCCTCTAGACTGATGCAGGCCAATTACAGGCCATTACACTCAGCTGAGATTGATCTGCTTTCTTTACGTTTGGGGTCTCAGAGATGTTCTGTATGTATAAAATAATGACATTTTCAAAATTACTTCTGGTTTTCTTTTCAAATTCTTGTAATATCTCTGTCTGACCTAATCAAACCCCCAGCAGACAGATATTATCGAAGCTTTAACCCTTGGACCACAAAGTAGACATGCACTTTTTTGAAATATGATTGTTATCAACTAAAGGGACACCTGGCAAAAACATACATAATCATTTGTACCTCTTTAATGTGTCTTTTAATGTTTGATGCAAGTTTCAAGTTTAGAATCACTTTTCATACGATTAGTGAAAATGATGAAGTACCAATCTGACACATCAAAGCACATTTTGAGATTTTGGCTCCATCACACTGAGCTCTTCCTAGCTGAGGCTAGTTTAACCATCAAAACAACACAATCATACAATAAAAAAAAATGTAAAAAGCTGGTTCTACACTCACAAATAAAGATTCTTCATTGGTATTGATGGTTTCATGAAGAACCTTTAACATCCTTGGAACCTTTCCATTGGACAAAATGGTTGAAAAGTGAAAAGGTAGATTATTAAAATGTTCTTCACACCGAGAAAAAGAATATTGTTCAGTGAAAGGTTCTTTGGGGAAACCGCAATGGCTCTTTGGCACTGCTGGGAACCTTTATTTTTAAGAGTGTTGGAAACCAGTATATAATAGAAATGTATCTCTATACCAATAGCCAGTGAAAGTTAAAAGAAACACAAAGTGTGTGAAACAGTGAAAAAGTAATATATTTAAAAAACATTTATTTCATACTAAGTATAGTTCAAATCTATTAACACACTCTAAAAAATGCTGGGTTGTTTCAACCCAATGTTGGGTCAAATATGGACTAACCCAACTGTTGGGTTAAAAAGTTAATTTAAAAATGTAACCAAAATTTAACCCAACAGTTGGGTTAGTCCATATTTGACCCAACATTGGGTTGAAACAACCCAGCATTTTTTAGAGTGCATATTTACTGACGTATCGCTTGAGACTTGCTGATATAAAAATGATAATTAAACTTTATTTGGAGAACTTGTGCACAATGCAAACTTCTTAAAATGTGTTTTAATGTCACTATTGATGAGGATTATATGATCTTTGAATAATATCAGTCTTTAAATGCAAGATATTCAAAGTGTAGCCGAAGTATACTTGCACTAGTTCCACTTTAGCACAATCAAATATACTTCAGTTTATCTTTAGTTGGACTTCAGCACTACTTCCGCAAAATTAAAGTGCATTAAGCACAAAATTAAGTTGTTCCAGTTTAGCAGAGTTTAAATATACCAGTATAGTATACTAAAAGTAATTGCAGGGTAATTTTATTAAGTACATAAATAGGTAAATATATTTGTAGTACACTTAGCATGAAATAAATGTATTTCAAATACATTTTAGCATATTTATTTCTCACTAGGGTTAACAGTGGGTACAATTATTTCTTAATAGGCTCAATATGACATGACTATAATAAAATGACTAATACGTGGCCTCCAGTGGCTTATTGCTTTAATAAAACGGTGACAAATAATGATAAAACAAGCTTTGATTAACACAGTAATATTCTGAATGAACAAATTTTGCAGGAAGTAATATGCGTAACGCAAGTAATATGAAACAGATTTGAGACTTGATCTGTTTTACCAAAATATTTTTGTTATGGCCAATATCAGATATGATAACTGGAACAGCATTTACAATAGAATCTCACATTTCAAATGTTGTATTTGTAAAGTGAAATCAGAAATCAAAATTCCATGTACAGCACAGATGATCAATACCTGTTCAGTACTTTTGAGCACTAAAGTAGAATTTGAGTATATTGGAAAATGAATGTTTGTCATCATTATGCTCATCAATATATTTTGCACAATGAACAAGTGCATTCTGTGTCAGTGGCAGCATCTGGATGTACGCAGACGTTCTGAGGCTCCACGTGTTTGCACCTGTTATTTGTACCTGCAGTGAGCAGTGAGAAGGACCCAGTTTCCTCTGACCTGCACTGATAGCATGCACCACAACAATCCCTGACAACCAATGGAAGAAAGATTCCTGTAATCCTGTAAATTCACCCGGCTCCTGCAGCTCTCAGTGCTTAATCTACTTTCAGTAGCTTTATCCCAGACAAATGTTAAGTTTATTTAAACCGCATGCGGTTAGCGAGAACACACACACTCACACACCATCAGTGGGCTCTTTTAATTCCTCAGTGGCCGGTCTTTATCTCCTGACATTTATCAAGGGAATCTTTCTTGTGGGCTATAACAAGGGCGACTTCGTGATTCTTGGGTGAACTAAACGATTCGATATCAGGTTAGGTATGTTTTATATTTCAAAATGTTTGATTTACTGCTTTCTGTGTACATTGATATAATACACATTTCATGTTATAAGTGCAAGCATTTTTTATTCTTCATCAACATTTCTGTCTTGTTGTCCATTAAAATAAAACAAAATAATTTTACTTCAAAAGTAAATGTACTTTTCTTTTTAAGCGCAAATCCAAGTCAATTAAGCAAGGTTTATGCACAATTTATGAGAATTATAGGAATTATATATTTCATTTATTATTTCATTATTCATAAAGTTATTTTGTCAGTCTATGAATAAACTTTTCTCAGTCCATCCGTTTTATTTTTAGCTAATCTGACAGCCAGACAATTTATTAAACTATTAATAAATATTTCTAAATATGAATAAAATATCAAACTATTTCAAATTCATTCATTCATTGTTTGCATGTCTGGCCATCTTTCTAGATGCCTGTGTCAGGTCAGACTTATCAGCCAGAAAACGAAACATTTTTTGCTCTGATACACACAAATGAAACTCAGTCCAATGTGCTGTCAGCCAAAAATGTAAATATGAAACCATGCCAATGAGGCTGAGACATTAGACCCTGATGCTTGCTGGACCATTCAGAAGTCGGGCTGTTTATTAAATAACAAAATCTTCGTTCCTGGCTGGATCCAAGTCTTTGTTCCTTTTCTCATCTAGCTGATGAAATGGGGTGTGTGTGTGTGAGCGTGTGGGATGAGGGAGTATTTATGTGCTAGCTCAGATGAATAGTGTGAGCAGCACACAAGATTTTATCTGTGCGTTGGCACTGCCAGCCTGTGCTGAGTGTCAGACGGATCCTAATAAAACTGTCTGACCCCGCGTTGGGCACCAGGCTGGTGCTCGCTGGTCGTGGCTGATTGCTTGGTATGCACAGAGCATGGCAGAGCTTCAGCTGTTGCTGGGAGCTTTGTGGCACAGACCCAGCCTGATTAGTTGGCATCCGCCATTGTTCAGAGTGAAACCAAGCAGGGGAAAAACATAAGAAGAGAGAGAGAGAGAGAGAGAGAGAGACAGACAGAGAGAGAGAGAGCAATAGGGGGAAATCAATTGTTTTGAAACTATATTGCTAATGTGGGTAATGTAGCAAAATTAGGTTTTCAAAAGTTAAACACTCCAGGGAGATAAAGAACAAAGCCAGGCGTTAGACTTAATGAGTTCACATCCTTAAAACAGGAAGGAGACCACAGCTCCGTGCCAACCGGACCCCCTAAAACTACCATCCGTCTGGAGTTCAGTGTCATTTCTGCTCAAAAACAACATGACGACGCGTATAAACATGGACGCCTTTAAACGCAATAATCTGCAAGCCGCATGTTCTTCTAACAGCAAAGTCTAGTCTTCAAGAGGTAATGAAGTCTATTCATAGAAATCGTTTTTGTGTAAATGAAAGTGTCAGCATATGTTGGTTCAATATGTCGCTCGTTTTTTTTGCACAGACATGTTTGGCTATGCATCAGACAGATTTTACGTTACTGGATTAAACAAAAAATTACATTACATCTGGTGGATACATGAGGATAAAGCCAAGCAGACTTGTTTCATAGTAGTGCAGGTGCTGGGATCTTCTATGAAGGGCGGCACTAGAAAAAACAGCTGCATGTTTTACCTTCATTTAAGAGAAAATCTTTGCAAAAAATCAAAAAAAGATTTTTTAAATCAAGAATTAATCGATTGTTAATCGCACACCAAAAGAAACTGGTGTGGGAACAACTGATAATCCCGGCCCTTCCTTCTGCTGCCGATGCGATAAAGGTCATTTAAAGATGAGCTGCAGTGGCGACCAGACAGCCAGACAGAGCGATTAGCATGATGACCCTCTCCTGCACCCCTCACCCCAAAGAAAAAACACCTCAGCAAACATACAGGATCGATTTTTATTTAAAATCCAGAAGAAACCATCATCATCATAGGCTTGTGAACATACTGAACATTCAATCTCTCAGACACGCCAGCGCCGCATCTTCTCTCTCGTCCACCGTTTCTCTCTTATCTCTCACAGACATCCGTCCCACGTCCGTCTCAGTCGGGACACGGCCAGGGGATTGAGTGCTTTTGCCCTCTGCCCAGGTCCCAAGAGCTTAACCTGTGATTTTCAGCACACAAAGCTCACAAGTTAGGGTCTCAGGGACCAGGAGGAGTGCAGCGGTGTCCACACAGGTTAGTGACATACACACACACACCCACACAAGTGTTGCACACTCACGTCCTCTTTCGTACAGCATAACGAAGATTATTGTTAATAATGTTCGGCCTATGGAAATAAAATGTGCCTTTTTCATTGCAGAGTTTAGAGCCACAGACACGCAGCGCACAGGTATATCATGCACCAAATGGCATGCACACAAAAGCAGACGAACCCAAAAAAAAATCAGGTAAGAGGAAACCAAGACGAGCGGTCGGATTTAAAGTTGTCTGTCGAGGGAGCAGACATAGCCTTTGTTGGTCGAGAAAAGCCTCCAGTCAGATGGTCAGTCTCTCTATCTGTCTTTCTCTTTGTCCTGTGTTTTTCATCCTCAGGATCTCTGGTGAGCAGAACCGCTGGCCTCTGACTGCAGCTTCAGACATGAACGTCTGTATGTGTACGTGTGTGTGTGTGTGTGTGTGTGTGTGTGTGTCTGTCTGCGTCTCGTCTCCCGCCACTGACTCCATTACACCGAAAAACATGTAGCGGCAATTGATCAGCCACGTTCAAGAGCCGGTAAACCGGCGTTGGGGCAAAATTAGCAAAAAACCGGCTTACACAGCTCCCCGCAAGACCACCCCACACCCACCCAGACACGCAGCGCCTGCGATTCCCCCTCACTGCTTTTGCAATAAGTTGTCTTTTTTGTGACTTTGTGAGCGTAGACGAGATCATGCAACCTCACAACACTAACTGCAAGCAAATCCAATAATGCACACGGCAGCCAAAACATGCATGTCATTTACACTGCAAACACACATCTGATGCACACATACACACCTTGAAGACTCCTCCTCCCCCCACAAACAAGAAGCATCGTTCATCCTCAGGGACCAGACGGTGTGGACACTCCCGGAAATGAGAGCGGCCGCCACGTGCCTCACACACACACACACGCACACACACTGTCTACCTTCAAACCTGTGCCGACTTTGTTATCTTCAAGGGAAAAGAAAAAGAGAGAGAGTGAGAGAAAAAGAGCAAGGAAGGAAACGCATCCTCAGACAGTGATATGTCACCAGAAGAAGACACTCGTTAGAACACCATCATCTTCATCAGGACCACAGCACATCCTCTCATCACCGTCACCCTCCTCACACTCGTCTGTCTGACACGCAACTTTACGCTGGCGACACACACTCACCCGCTCATCTGCCTCCGGTCCGGACACCTGTCCCGGGCATCTCTGTACCTGTACCTGGGCCGTCTGTGAGACCCGCTCTCGCTCTCTCGGTGTGACTGAGTGCCAGCGAGCGGCAGATTCTGCAGCGAGAGCGCTCCCCCCCCTTCCGCCCTCCCCGCCATCTCTCTCCCTCCCTCCCTCTCTTCATCTCAGCTCCACTTCCCCTCTGCACTGATCAATCCCTCACTCTCTCCGAAGGCTCGAAACAACGCAGCCAGCCAGCAGCCAGAAATGGCGTCTCGTTCTCCGCGGCACTCTGTGCAGCCACACGACAATCTGTCTGTCACAATATTGTGACAACATTTCCACAACTGATTGAGGAGGATCATCCACCACCCCTCCGCCAAAGCTGTGGAAAAGTGTTTGACCACCACAGTAAAGCAATTTGTAGTCATTTTTGTAAAATTACACAATATCTAGGGATCATCTTTAAAAATAAAGAAATAAAATAAGGAGAGGAAAACATAATAATGAAACAATGACAATTTAAGGAGAACAAGCTGACGAAACATCAAAGAAATGGGAGAAAAGGCCATTTAAACAAAACAAGGAGATGAAACATAAAAAATTGAATAATAAAAAGCAATTTAAACAAAACGAGGAGAAACAGCCAAATAAAGAAAACAGTGAGAAGGAAAACCAGAGAGAGAATTTTCATTTGTTTATAGTTTGTTGTATCATTATACAACATAAACTATAAACAAATGAAAATTTAAACAATGAAGCAACAAACAATAAAAAACATGAAACAAAATAATGAAACAGTGGCAATTTAAACAAAGAGACAAACCAAAGAAGCAAATTAAAATGTAACAAAATGAGGAAAGAAACAACAAAGTAAATAAAAAGCAACTGAAACAAAACATGGAGAAAAAACTAAATAACGAAAATAACAGCCATTTAAACAAAATGGAGACAAAACTATTATAATGTGAACAAAATAAGGTGATCAACAAAAACAGCAATATAAACAATAAGATGTTAAACAACTGAGTGAAAAACAATGCAAACAATCATGATCATGCAGCTGATTGAAAGTCTGCAATGTGAATCAAAAATAATAGGCCTCATGAGACATTAGCATAACAATTTTCTGCATAAACAGTTCATAAAAAACATTTGGTTTATTAGTTCATTCTCACGTAAATTGGACTGAATGATATATGCATTGTATTTCATGAATCACGTCCAATGTACACATGCACATATACAGTATATAAAACATGCATTAGTGATAATATACGCACTGCTAAAACTGATAAATAATAAACAAAAAAAATACAAAGACAACATGCACACCCTGTGTGGTTCTCCGAGCACCAGATGCATCTTTATCTGTCTGGCAGTGGCCCTGAATGATCTCTGACCCCTTTGCTTGCACTGGGGGGTGTGTGAGAGTCGTGACCCCATCATAGAGGGGTGCTGGGCGCTGACTGCCCACCGCACACATCATTGATTACGAGCTTAATGCACAAACTCGCCACGTCTGTTCTACTGCAATGCAGAGCTCCAAACACACACACACACATACACACACATAAAGCGGGCGAGCTCACAAATCCACATAGATTCAGTGTTTAAACTCAAGCCGTCTTGGGCAGCGTCTGAACACAGGTTTGTCGATACGAGTGAGCAGCATACAGGTTCAAGTCTATCACGCTGTAGGATGGAGACACACACACAGAGGCCATCAGCAGAGCGCTGTCACCACACTGTACCAGACAGCACACACACATATGCACAACAACACACAATGAACGCTAGACAGAAGGGAAAACACCATAAACCACTACACAAAGAGGAACATATTGAGTTCGACATCCATCTCCACTTAAACTGTGACTTTACAAGCCTTCAGACCCACTCAGAAATCTCTTATTTCTCATATCCTGGAACACAATTCTAGTCATTTCAAAAAACAATGACTCATTAACAATCACATACAAAAATGAGACCCCAAAGACGTGGATCTCTTTAATCACATCCAAACATTTTTTAACTACAATTTTACATTTTTTGAAGAAAACATGAGCTGAAGTAAAAAAAGCCAACCTGAAGTCTATATTTACATTTATCCAAAACAACTTAGGTACACATATTATCAATCCTTGCTTTTCCTGGGAATGAAACCTATGACCTTGCTAGTGCCATGATCTACAGTTTGAGCAACAGGAAGGCAGAAAGGTCTCTTTTTTGCCACACGTCTATGGTTTTTCAAGTATTTTATTGTCCGCAAGTTGAAAATAGTATATCTGATTGCTTAGAAAAGGCACACTGCACAAATGCCATGCAATTTGAGATGTCATTCCTAAACATATGTGGGATGAGTTACAAATTGAAGTGTAATACTTAAAAGTATAGTAAAAAATACTTAAAAAGTATTAAGACCTTCGTTCATCTTCGGAACACAAATTAAGATATTATTGATGACTGATTTTTGATTTTTGAAGACACGGAAGAGAAGAAATTGTTGAATTAAGTCATTATTTTTGTTTTCTTTGCACACAAAATGTATTATCATAGCTTGAACCACTATTTTAACAATGTCCTTCCTATCTTTCTGGGCCTTGAATTTTTCAGTTGCGTTGCTGTCTATGCAGGGTTAGAAAGCTCTCAGATTTCCTCAAAAATATCTTAATTTGTGTACCGAAGATGAAAAAGGTCTTATGGGTTTGGAACGACATGAGGGTGAGTAATTAATGACAGAAGTTTTATTTTTAGGGAGAACTATCCCTTTAACATTAGCAGTTTGTACAAATCTAATAGTGATGCTACCTTATCAATCATCTAAACACTATCAAATTCAGAATCATTTCATAGGTTTTAGTTCCATCAACATCTTACAATCATGAGAACCCAGAAGACCCTTACAGAGACCATTTGATTGCACAGTCACGCAGCGTTTAGGTCTACTGAACGCAAGTCTTTAACCACTATAACATCTTGTCTGACTGGCTGGCGGCCCAGTGCACAGGCCCCGCCCATCCAAATCGAACTCATTGATCTCTCATGCAGGGTCAGAGGTCAAATGCGTATCGACTGGAAAAAGTGTCATCAGCAGCAGCTTGGCCCTGACTCCAGACAGATCAATAGCACCTCTGTCTGCTATGCTTAGATTACTCTTATTCATCTGTCATAAATCTCAGCACCTCATCACCATGCTAACGTCTGGTGGCTCCTGATGCAGCTGTGGCCCTGTTAAGGTCGACAGCGGTCTGGGACCAGTAGGTCATGTTCATCAGTGCTCAACTCTCGTGTACAGGGGCAAAAGGCTAGACGGCCAATCGCAGACCTTGTAATAAGAATCAATGAGTAGGGTTTGGTCACACGTCTGGAAGAATCAGACAGAACTGGATGACAAAAGATATACTGTCTTAGATAAACACACAACAGTGAATGTAAAGACAACAAGAACCAATTTATCTTCATTATTGTGCAGTATGTTTGATAAAAATGTTTTAAACGCATTAAATTTGGACTTTTCTTTCCTGCAGACTTAACCAAGGTAAGACTGAGAAATTAATACTAGCTAATAACATCACAGCCTAACAAATCGTGATACAATCAAATTTTGATTAAGAAAATCAAGTTCTGCCCTACGTTTTTTCCCCACTGAATATTACAGAAGTTAAATGGATCGCAAATGTCACTTCATGTTGTTTTAAGGCAATCTGTGAATTACATATTTCAATACCTGTTTGCACACAAAGTAGTTAATTTTGTACACATTTGTTCACTACAGAAGTGATTTGAGCATAAAGTTTTACGATTAGTGTGTTTGCACAGCAAAACGCTGACAGTGATGAAAAAATTATTATAGAAACCCAACAAAGCAAGAAAACCGTGTTTATACAAGAACGTCTGCAATAAATGATCAGTTTCTCCTCAATCTTGACACCATAATATAAACAGACGTGCACTTTGAATAAACTGACAGAATGGTGATAAATGCATGTATGTACAGATCAAAATGGGAGTAACAGAAGCTTAGGTGCGTTGGTTTGTTTTGTTTTGTTTTTTTCTGATAAAAGAATATTTGAACTTTTTTTATTGAGCATAATCAGCATAGGACTGTTCATGTAAACATACTTTGTTTATGGATATTTGTCGAAACTTCAAATAAAAATGTCAAAACAATACTTTATCAGTTGACTTGACTAAGAAAACCCTTCAGGACACTGCCGTTCTTCGCCTTTCTGTGGACCCACTGCTCACTGAAACAAAAGCTTCAGCTTTCTCCCGATCAAATTCACTAATTTATTTGTTCAGCCATCACATAAATCTAAGCACAGCTGTAACCAACGAGTTGCAGCTCGACTCGGCTGCCAGCTGGACTTGGTTTTGCTGAACCAGCATGATTTTAAGCCGGGTTTGCTCCGCTACATCTGGAAGAGTCATCCGAGAGCAGAGGTGAAGGCGGAAAAATCCCTCCTAAAATAAAAGCAGCTCGACTCCCTCTGTCAGTTTAAACAGGAAACGATTTCTTTCCCTTCGATTCAACATACTGTGGCTAGTTCACCCAAAAATGAAAATGATCTACTCACTCTCATGTCGATCCATCCTGATTGACTTTCTTTTGTCTGTGAAACACTAAATATCAATTTTTAAAGAACATCCAGGCTACTCTTTTGAAAATAATGAAAATGAATGAGGACCGGGGCTGTCAAGTGGTTGATAGTCAAAAGATAGCTTTGTGTGAAGAACAGACTGAAAGTGAAATCCTTAACTGCTGAAAATCTCAATGTGTCCTACATCTTCTTGTGATGTTTAAGCTGTGAATTGTTCAATTGAGTCAGATATTTTCAATGAATCAGCTGATCTAGTTCACAAAACTGTTTTGAATGATTCATTCACAAATCAGCTCTTAAATTCAATGACTCAATGATCCAGTCACAACACTGAACATTATAAGTAAATAACAACTTAAATTTCAGTCTGTTTATTAAATAAAGCACTAAAGACTCAGAATATAGCATCATATAGAGACACATTGACTAAGAAGACTAATATTTTTTGGACCATTTTGGAAGTTTGACAGTCTCTGTCCTCATTCACTTTTGTTATAATAAAAGTGTATGACATGAGGGTGAGCAAATTAGTTTTTATTTCTGTGTGAACTATCCCTTTAAGAGTTTTGACTGCTGTTTTCTATAACTTAAATCCTAAGAGCCTAAACAGAATTCAGATGTAAGCTGCATGAAGGTTTGGCTGACAGAGAAACACAGCTGACACCTGACTAAAGGGGACTGAAGTGGACTTAAGCCTTGGGTAGAGGAGCCGTGTCTTTTCAAGCTTTAGAGGGGCCGCGCTAAGCCCGTTCCAACCCTGTCGTCGTGTGAGAGGGGAATCAATGACGGAGACTCTTACGCTTGCCCATTGAATCCTCGTTTATTTCACTGCTCATTTGTCTGTGCTTAATTGATAGCAGTTAAGTCCCTTTCACCATGTTGGCTGTGTTGCTGCGGGGCCTATGTGTGCTTAGACGCTTTCAGGCCAGACTAAAATACTTCATGAACACTGGGCCTCACAGTCTGCAGGCGTTCACGCTGGAGACCCACCAACACAAGACGCCGGGCAGACATATGAGGCTGTTAAGTGCATAGCTTCAACACACCACTGAAAAATGAGAACAAAAGCTTATAAACCTACATTTTGGAAGCATACTGCAGAAGAAAACCTTGAGTTTGAATGTCAAAGACATGCCTGCTGCCAAATACTCAATTGATTTAAAAGCACTACTTTTAGCTTGGTAACATTCCCAAACAAGGAATTCAAAGAGTTTTCAAATGCTGATCTGCTGGATTAATCAAATTCCAAGAATACTGAATTATCTGAGACACACTATTTCAACAATCATTGTCTTAATAAGATGCTTAACAAATGACATACGAATGCACTTTACAGTAATGTCATCTGGTCTAAGATGCTGCATAGACACATTCAAAATTTGGGATCAGTAAGTTTTTTAAAGAAATTGATATTTTATCATTTTAATAATGCTGTGATTTAGAATTTTTTATTCATCAAAGATTATTCATCCTGAAAAAAATGTATCATGGTTTCCATAAAAATATTAAGCAGGTCAACTGTTTCTACATTAATAATAATAGGAAATGTTTCTTGAGCAGCAAATCAGCATTTTAGAATGATTTCTGAAGGATCATGTGACACTGAAGACTGGAGTAATGATGCTGAAAATTCAGCTGTGCAATTACAGAAATAAATTTCATTCTCTAAAATTCATTCATTTCATATTAAAATCGAGAACACTTGTTTTAAATGTAATATTTTGTAGTATTACTGTACTTTTGATCAAATAAATGCAGTCTTAGTGAATATAAGAAACTTATTTTAGAAACATTAAAAAATCTTACTGACCCCAAACTTTTAAACATCAGTGTATAAAGAGTGTTAAACTAGGATGTACAATATGTAAATATTCTTTATTCAATATAAAATAGCCAGATGACCTTCTAGAATTTGCACAAATGAGCAGTATACAACATATTACAGAGTGCACTTCTGTATGCCATAAAGCAGTGTGCTTGACTTGACCTTTCATTCCCAGCATGATGGATGAACCAGAGGTAAGTTTTGCTTCAATATTTAGGCTTATTATTTTATCAGACCGCCAAAAGGTAAAAAAACATTTTTTTTTTTTATATAAATCATATATTTATAAAACAAATATGTTATACACATCTCACTTTAAAATAAATAAATCAAATAAAAAATAGCTGAATGTATTACAGAATGCCACTTGCTGAATTAACATTCAACATGATGTTCATAAAATGTATCATGCTACTATCTGAAATAATTTTACGAATTTTAGAGTTTCACTTCCTATTTTAAAAAAGTATTCATTATACAGTATATACTGTGAAGCATTCAGTCATCTCTTACTCTGTTTATGTGGTAAGTGAAATTTTAAGTACTATGTAACAGGCAACCGTTAGCAAACGTTATTTGTTTTCCGTGCCTTTCTAAATACGAATTAACGCTTCGGGCACACCCCCTAACTCCCCCTCACCCACCCAAGCCCCCCCCCCCGGCTCCACGATGTCATCGTCCATCGCAATGTTTCACTGTAGACATTGTCCGATGCCAATTTTGTAGATATCGCCCAACCCTAGTGCTGATTATTAGAAACGCCACTGGATCCAGAAGCTAACAACACTGGCGCTGTACGCTACAGTTAAGATATTCCATTTCACACTCTGTTTATGGCCTGGGCCTCTGAAAATCCCTTTAATCCTGAATGATTCAGGGGGGAAAATAAAACCTGGATGTCAGGGTCTTTAGCAGGGCCACAGAAATACATCTAGAAGCTGACGGATTGGGAAACCGATGACAGACAGATCATGGGAAATTATTTTCGGATGCTAACAACCGAAATCTGATGTTATATATCACTCAAAGAATGAGAAATGAGAAAATATTTGTTCTCTAAATGTTGTTTGATTCATATGTGCAGGTTTACTGCTTTTTAGGGATGTTCAGGACAACACTTTCAAAATCAACTAGTTATTGTGTTGTCTGAACACACTAACTAAAGAAGTGCTGCTAAAAAAAACAAATATATAAAGATAAATGTGAAAAGTCAGACCAGTCAACCGCTGTGACCATTCCCTACTGCTTTTTTCCAAATATCCAATGCTGTCTGATTATAAACAGCCATCACAAATGTCTCAGGGGAAAACAGACTGATATGCAGCAGTGATGAAAAAACACAAGACAATTTGACATCACACTCTGTCAGCTGAAAGAGATACTGGGTGATTTCTGTGGTGGTTCCTGCTGTCGTTTTAGTGATGTGTATTATATTACTAAAAATATGCTGTGTGTCTTCTGTCCAACAGCAGATATGCACAACACAGTAAATGACAATGAAACTGGCAACCTGTCCATCCTGAAGGAACAGGAAACATCAATTATCTGTATTACTCAGACTCATCTGTGTGTTACTGCACTGAAAGCCTACAAGCCTATATCTATCTCTTGACTTCATGTGTTTAAAAGTGGAAAAAGCGAACATATTCTGTGATAAGGGAGCCAGAGGATGCCATTTTGAAGTCTTGCTTGATGAAATGAGTGTACTCCAAGGAAAGCTAGAAGGTTGTACAGTTAACTCCCATGGTGTCATTCGAAACCATACAACCTACTACCTCAGCCTGGATGCACACGTCCACACTGCCATTCCTCTGGACCTCCTGGAGCAAAAACAACTTCTGCTCCTTCAGAGAAGAAACTTTTTTGTTTTTTTGCATCAGTGATTTGATGCATTTGCAAATTCTCTACAGATCATCTATTTATTTATAGCAGCAGTTCTCAAACCTTGAAGGATTCCAAATGATCCATCATTTGATTGGCTCATTAAACAAATAAAATAGATAAAACATGATTATAATAGATAAAAAGCACCAACAAATAATTTATTGACTGCTTAATCAACCTGGATAATGATGTATCTGTTGTCTCATTTAGCAAAGTACGCAAATGTACAGAAATTTGTAGCAAACAAAGTCTAATTTATTTAAATGAAATAAGAACAAAACAGCAGTCTGACAAAATTATGGAATTAAGGAATACCCTTATAAACTAAGGTAATTTGTGCACTACTAAACCTGGTAATTATTTTAAGGTAGCTGGTGGCTTGTGCAGTTTTTATGCTGTGGCCCACCACCTAAAAAAAAGTTTGAGAACCACTGCTGTAGCGAGTTCAAAGAGTGCGTTGAGTTCACCACAGTGACAGAGACCCACAGAATCGAGCTTGGGTTGCAGATTACGCCACAAGATCGGATCTACGGGTTTGTGACAAGTGGTCAGAGCTTCATATGAAACCCAGTCGCAGGTCATACTCATGTCTCCGAGTCTTTGTGGTGTTGCTATCAGATCAGATAAACCACAAAAACATCCCTCCCTACATGAACAAAACACTGTCATGGAGTCACTATAAATATAGAAAGGAGGAGAAAGTCAAAAACATCTTCCACTGACCTGGTCGAGTTTCAGTGGAGATGTATCCATATCTGCTCCTGATTTCTGTGCAGTGAAGAGAAAGAAATCACAACATCAGGAAATACGTTCACAGTTAAAAGTCTATAGCAAATACATAGAGTAACGCAATTCAGTTTTGTGTAGAAAACAAATTAAATTAAATGCCATTCACAGTTAATTTTGCTTCCATAATATAACATATTTTTGAGTCAGGATATTTAATGAGGAAAGAAAGATAGGCAGGGACTTTATTTTACCCAGAAAAGTGTTTCTACATGACAGGTGGTTGTTGGGGAAGAGCTGAAAAAATAAGAGGGCTTGATGATGTTATCTGAAAAGGAAAGTCGTTTCCAAGTTATTACATTTTGATAAATGATTACAAAGGTAAACATTTTTCTTTAGAATAATGTGTAGTTGTGTAAATCAAGTAGAATAAGACTAGGACTATGTGTTATGAAAGTAAATAAGGATAGATACACCGATTGAACAATCTGACAAAAGTCCAACACAAAAGAACTTAAATAAATGGGGGGGAAAATGCTTCACTTGAATCAAATTGTAATTATTATAAGGCTACACAAACACTCTAGCTGGGAAATACTGAAAAGTTTGGCGGAAACAGCTTGTTCGAACACATCCCTGCCAGAGAACGCCATGCGTGACTGTCTGTGAGAACAGGGTGAGCTTAGACAAGAACACGGCGGTTTTAAAAGAAACACACAATCTGTCGAGGCGGGAAAAGTGAGCATTTCACAAACACCTGCTGTCCTCTCACTGTCTCACCTGCTTGCTGATGTTCATCAGACGTAAATGTTCAACACACGGTACAACTGAGCCATTTCAAAGTGGGCGGCGGTTTTTGCACCCATTCATTCACCGAATCATGACTTGCTTTAGAGTTTCGGAAACAGTTTGAACACCAATTTTACGCCAACTAAAACAACCTGTGAGATTCAAAATGAACACAGGGGACTGACATATACAAGTGCCACCAAAATACTTTTGCTAAATAAGAAAATCTGCGTAGTCCGCCATTTTCTCAGCAAGGAAAAGACAAGAGAGGGGAAAAAACGAGAAAGAACTCTCACTAGCACCGCTTTCCAAGTTTCTCCTTTTCTGTTCTGGCACCCTCACAAAACCTTCACCAGTGGGTCACATGATTCTGCTTGAGCCTAGAAGCATTCAGCTGATGTCGAGTAGACATCTTTTGTCTAAAATACAACCCTTTCGCCGAGCATTCCACAAATAAAATGCCACCTTCCAGGGGGGCTGAAAAGGGGTGGCGTTGGGAGTCATGGCAACCTCTACCTGGCACGATGCCCATTGTAAGGACAACAGGACATAGAAATCAGCTGAATTCAAACAATGATGCCAAGTCACTCAGAAGATAAGAGAAGAGGAAACATCTTTTAACGATGCTTTTGGAGTAATTCTCGAGCAAAGCTGCACTGGAATGCAGCGAAGAGCGCATTCGCTTGCAGACGGTAGTTGAGAAAAAACGCCCTGTCGGACTACGTGTCTCCCGTTGCCTGTGCGTGTGAATGGAGTGACTCAGTGAAGCTTTATTTTAAACACACAGACAGCGATTCATCATCAATCCATGAGTCATGATTGTAGTTTGTAGATTGTAGTGGGCTGATGAAGTTTCCCACTATAGGGCTTTATAAAGTGTGATAGCAGACAACGGGGAGCATATGTGGGCGTTTCCTGCATCTTGTTAAAGCTGCGCACATGAGATCACAAATGACCTCTGTATAGAATCTCTACAGCCTCAGAGTTAAAATGAGGTGAGAGCCAAACAACAAGAGGAAGTAACAATAGTTAACAGGGGAAATGTAACTATAATTTTACTACAGAATAAGGTCTAGATAACTGGATTTGAATTAAATAAGAATTCCTCAAATTCCTGCATTTCAATTGAGGCAGGATGGAGAATTGTAATTCGAATTCAAATTTTCATTTAAAAGTTCAAAATATAAATTATATAACTAATTTTTTGGTCACACTTTATTTTAAGGTCCAATTCTCACCATTAACAAACCATTAACTACAACTTTTGCCTCAATAAACTACTAATTTGCTGCTTATTAATAGTTAGTAAGGTAGTTGTTAAGTTTAGGTATTGGGTAGGATTAGGGATGTAGAATATGGTCATGCAGAATATGTGCATTATAAGTACTAATAAAAAGGCAATATGTTATTAATAGGCATGCTAATAAGCAACTAGTTAATAGTGAGAATTGGTCCCAATACTAGTGTTACCAATTTGTTAACTAGAAAGGCAAAGTTTGTCAAGACAACCAAAAAAAATGTTAGCTTGACAAAGTCTTGTTTTAAAAGTTTGAAGTTTAAAAGTTTAAAAGTCCTTACAAGCAGAAAGAAAAATAGAACAATCAATCAATAGAATGACAGACAGACAGACAGATAGATGTTTGAAATGCCACTTTCATTACAATTCAACTTCCTGTTGGGTGTGGCTAATTCAAATTTCCACAAGTATTTGAACACTTAAACATTTTAATAAACCAACTAATGTTTATTTTAAAGAAAGACGTTTTAAATTCTAAAACAATAGTGGCAAAAACCCTAAATACTGTAACAGATGGAGCAAAATGTCTCTGAAATTTGGTCTCTGATGGTTTTTCCATCAATTGTTTGCAAATGCAACTTGGCTTGAGATTGCGTATGTAATGGAATGACATTCAGACATTTTGTGTGGCTTAAATGTCTGAATACTTTATGGGGCCACTTTAAACTTCACCATAAACGTCAAGAACTCTAGATTAGAAACTGGACCTGCTGGAACTAATCTGGTTACAGGCCATGTCACGGCTCTTTTGAATCTTATCTATAACACACAAGCGTACTTAAGAGAAGCATCTCGCTGACCTGAACACAAAATATGTCATGACATCCCGATGATCTCTCCATCCAGAGCAGCAAGACGAACATTCCCACACAAAAATACACACGACCCTGAGTCACCTACAGTCCCGCTCATAACACTAGATGTTTGGATTTGATCACCCTGAACTCATCCACCATTGTTCCTGGATGGATGAATTTCCCAACATACTCTGACAGCAGACAAACAGTCAGCAGATCTGCATCAAACCACAAGAGATGATCTGTTCAAGTTGATGCATGTGAGTATATATTGGTGTGGCCCTGAGCACACAGGAAGAATGAACTGGAAGAACGATGATATCTAAATCTTGTCCTTATCTGCAAATTGAATCTCAATTTATAGAATAAGTTAAAGGCAGAATGTAATTACTTTTTTGTACATAAAATGACTTGTTGCAGTTCAGGGTCACATATAATTTATAAGTGTATAATTAATACACACATACACACTGATATACTGTATATATATATATATATATATGTGTGTGTGTGTGTGTAAAATCTAGTGATGTACAATATATGGAGAAGCATATCAGTACCACAGAATATTAATGTTCTTTTATCATTATTATACTTCTGAATAGGATGATTAGGCTTGCCAGAAGATAATTTCAGGGCTTTTTCTATTCCAGGTTTAAAAAGCAATAAACAGTTGTTCTTTTCAGTACATCTTTTGTACTTTACATTATAATTAAATTTAATATAAATGTAATACTGATTTTATTAATAAAAATTGCTATCATCATTGGTTATGAATAATACCAATCCATTATTTAAAGACAGTGAAGAGACTTTAAGGTTAAAGGTACAAATGCTGAATCTTTTAAATGCAAAAAGAACTGTGAACCACTTTCAACAACGCTGCCAATGCAAGCTTGATCTGTTAAACAAACCTCTGTACAGCGATCAATATGCACAGAACATCTGTGAGTCTGAGTTTCTTCCTCGTACTAACCTATAGAGGGAATTTGTGTCATAAACTATATAACACAACGGCTGGTCTGTTTGTGCATGTGTGTTTCCTGATGGTGCACAGCAGACTGATATATGGCCTGAAGATGCAGGCCTGTGAGGATAAACTATTTTCACGTCACTCTGAACTTGCAGAACCAATAAATTCTGCCACAGGGTGTGAGACGCTCCCCTCATCCTGAGTCAGACAGTCACACCACAGCACTCAAACACAGCCTGCATTCAACAGGGGAAGGAATTGAATTTATGCAGCGAAACGTGTATTCTCCTGACATCATTTAGCCAGGCTGTGTCAGCTCCATGCATGATTGAAAAAAACACGCATGAGGATGGCGTTTCTGTCGCATGTCATTTAGATGCTGATTGTGGCAGTATAGTTATATATACCATGGAACCAAAGGTTTTTTGTATTCATGTACCATGAAATTTACATGATACTCTAAGTAACACTTAACAATAAGGTTCAATTTGTTAACATTAGTTTTTACAGCATTTATTAAGCCAGGATAATGTAAATTCATATATTTTTCTGTTAACACATTTAAAGTTTTATTGTTAATTTGTTCATAATACAATAACTATTTTAATTTATACTTACAAACTTAAATTTATTAGCATATTTAGAAATTAACCTTAATTAAGATTAATAAATGCTGTACATGTATTGTTTATTGTTAGTTTATTATACCTAATGCGTTAAATAATGCTTGAACTGGTACATCAAAGAATGACAAAAAAACACAGTATTACTGTGATACATGTCCAAAATGCCATGATGAAAATGAATGGTGACCACAGCTGCTCCTGGTCCCCATTTACTTTCATTGTTTGCAATTAAATGCAGCTTGGACATTCAGATAAATTTCTCCTTTTGTATATTACGGAAAAAAGAAAGTCATGCAGGTCTGGAATGACAGTAGAGTTTTGGATGAACTATATCTATAAACAGTTTTTCCAGAAATCAGCGCCTTCTCGACACCTCACAGAATGGCATTTCATATCCAGAGAAGCAGGACGTTGAGGTCAAAGTTCAACTGAGACCGGCAAAAAAATAAAAAAACAGAGCAAAGAGAGGATTTCCCGCAAGACAGATCGAACCACTGAAAACCAGACAGGGGGGAAAATCAGACAGACGTCGCAGTAATGTGAAACAGTCATAATGCGGT